ATCTATCTATCTATCTATCTATCTATCTATCTATCTATCTATCTATCTATCTATCCCTTATCTATCATTTTTTGTCTCAGGATCTTTCTAACATTACTGACTCCAAATTATATTCATACTGGGAAGTAAGTTCCTAGTTCATACTAGGAAGATGTTGAAAGGCTTTATTTGGAGATTCACGAACGGCTGTTGCTTCATGGATCATGAAGGGCTGGTTTTGGCTAAGGCAGAGCAGGCACTGGCCTAGGGCACCAAAGCTTAGGAGGTGCCAACACTGCCCCTTCTTCCAAATCATTCTAAAAATACAAATCCTTGCACTGAAGGGGATGGCGCTAGCAGTCAATATGGCCTAGGGGCACCATAAATCCTGAAATTGCATGATTGCAAGAAGTCCACCTCACACAGGCAACATCAGTAAATGTGTGGGTAACCTCCCCAGCCCTCAGCTTTCTTTTCCTACCTAATATGCGCTGTGCTACTTAAAATTTCAAGTCCTTCCTAGGAAATCTTCAGAAAAGTTGGCAGCGCCCTTTAGAATCTATGCTTCAATGATTATCCTCAATTGCATTTGTTTAAAAAACACTTTCTTAAAACGTCTTTTGTATTAAAGGCATATTTTCTGCAGGTCAATCAATGCAGTCTCAAACTTTTCATTACTGAGGCTCATTCAATTGAGTGCCATAAGTGAAGTCAGACGGATCGCTGTGAATCTTTATTGTTCAACAGAGAAGAGCATCTGAAACCCACCACTGGCAACATCAGTAGCGGTTTGGCCCGAAAAGCACATTTTTATGTACGGCATTTAGATGGATTTTTGAAACTCGTTTGATTATCATGCTGCCTTTGACACTCAAAATGATGAAGTGCTAGCTGAAGTAAAAGGCATCTGTTCCAAGAGCATCTTTTCTGCCTTGTTTTGCGGTGACCTACCTGGATATTAGTCAGGAGGGTTTCTATGGAGGACAATCCATCAGGAAATAGAAAAGGAGATGGGAAACCTGGAGGAAGAGGTTGTCCGTGCCCAGTTAGTGAAAGTTTGTCAAGGCTGTCTCTTGTGGTTGGTGTGGAGAGCGGGGTCTCATCTGTATGTGATTGAAACAAAAATATAGAACAAGTTACGCTTGTCTGTTTTTATTAGACCTCAGTAATGGCTTCCCTAGTGATTTCCAGAACATTTATTGCAAATTGGTTCCTGCTATCAGGAGAAAATGCTTTCTGCTGAATTTTCTTTAATGAAAAAGCTGTGGAGATACAACAAGATAACATTAATGAGTAACTTTATAAGCCTTTTAAATGCAGCCTCTAATGAGACTGAGTTTACAGTGCCATAGAATCTTTTTAAAACTAATATTATCTCACACATACTTGTGATAATATATTTAGGCTGACTTTATGGGTAACTTCCCAATTATCTCATTTTAGTTTGTGTGCTGTCTAGGAAGACAATAGAATGTTTCCTGCTATGATACATATTTTATGTGGACCACTTATGATTTATGTTGAAGTTATTCTGTTCGTTTGCTCACAGTCAACTCTCTCCTTCATCAAGAAAGAAAAAGCAACATCTTCCTCAATTATCTACCCATCTTGAGAGAGAGGAACTCCATCGCCACCACTCCCAACAGACATCTCAGAGATGGAGAATCTTCAGTCTCTCCTTCCCCAACACACCCTTTGCTGCCTCCAGACTCTGGAGATCAGGGATTTCACTTGGGATACATACCATACCAAGACTTCAGTCTTCCTGTACATGGATTCTCGTTTTCATGTTGTTGTTGTTTTTTAAATACACATTATTTCATCAACGAATGAGAATTTCTACAATCAAACAGTGTTTATGCATAAAGGAATCTACATCATGGTTCCTCTGAAAATAACCTCAATGTTTCTTCCCGATTTTTCTTGGCAGCAAGTTCAGATAGGAGACTGTTTTTTAAAAAATCTCTCTCAGAAAATTCCATTATAAAGACAATAGATAGCAACGGCAGTCTTGACAACAGCATTGTTGGCTGTAATTTATTTTTTAAAGAATAATTTGGGGAACTATCCCTCTGCTTTGTAATTTGCAGGGAAAGTATTAAAGGTAGAAAACTATGGAAAACCTTTAAACAGGAAAAGGAATAATTAAGTTATAACTGTGGCTAGCTTAAGAGGCCGCAGTTCTTCGATGCAATACATTTCGATAAATCTTTGTTTTCTCTAGTTTACAGAAGGTAGGAGAAAAAAAGCTTAACACTCTTGTTTGTGCAGAAGTCCAAAGAAACAGCAGTCATTCTGAATTTTAATAAAAATATAAGCTCTTCTGAGTTACTGCTATAAACCAATCCAGTGTAGTTATTTAAACTTTTGTCTCATTTTTGGCCTTCTGCAGAATGAGCAAGTGTTTAATTTTGCAAATTAAAGTTTTTTTTTTAATGTTTTAGGATTTTATGGATGTTTTTAATATGGCATCACATTGTAAGCAGCCTAGAATTGCTCCAGGAAGGGAAGAAGGAAGGGAGGAAGGATGGATGGATAGAAGAACGGACAGATGGATGGAAGGATGGATGGATGGACGGACGGACGGAAGATGTTTCTGCAAGTCTCGTTTCAATTGGCAAGAAGAGCAAAAAGAAAGATCCAGATTATATCAAGAGAAAGAATACTGGCGATAGAGGGAGCTTCCTACTCTCATTTTGCTTGAGAAAATAAAAATAGGAACCCAAAGGGCCCTCTATCACCAGCCTCCATGGGGGGGAGGACTTATCTTATATCTCAGGGTTCATCTGAACATTTCTCACACTTTTATTTCAAAGCTGCAAGCCTTGTTTTGCTTGAGAGGTTTTTAACCATTGGAACTGCTTCTATCCTTAGGAATGGTCTGTGTAACGCACACTCAGATCCTTTGTTTCTCTCTTTGCTTTCTGAGCACCTCGAAGTTTCCGAACTAGGAAATACTTCATATACAAGTAATCAGCCCTGTCTGCAGAACTAAACATTCTATTTTATACAATTGCTAACCGTTTTAACTGAAAAAAACAGTAGCTATCCTGACCTATAATGTAAAACTAAGAGACTGAACTTAAGTTGAACTATTATGATGAATGTTTAACTTAAAGACAAATAATCTTTCATAATGTGACTGTTTTTTTGTTTTTTTTATATCCTGCATGAAATAAACTCTGGGTGAACATTGGAAGGAAAACAAATGTATATCTCATATACCGGAAGAGTGGATATTTGTAGATCTGAGATAAGCTATTACTGAGAGGATCTTGGGAAAAAGTTCTGTTTTTAAAAGGAAAAGCACACTTATTGTAAATATTAACTAATTAAAAATAGCACAACTGTCTTTAAACATAGCAGTGCCATAACCTTGCTTCTAGCAAATCATTAACAGAGTGTGAAAGAGAAGATGCTTAATTCTTTTTGCATAAAAACATCCAAAGGATACCACATTTTCTGAAAGCCTTTGGTGCATATCCCCAAGCCATGCTTGTTTATGAAATAGTTTCTCACTGATCTCCCCACCAGGACCATACTAGATGCCCAGAACGATTACAAAGGAAAGGGGAGGTGAAAAGATTAACCATCCTTTCTACTGGTAGAATAGCATCCATAAGTGGAGTAACACGACTGGATACACCTCCTTATTCCGAGCCGTCAGATCTAGAAATGGTGTATTGTATTGGAAGGCAAGCGTTCCTACAGATGGTCAACTGTCTGGAGTTGAGACAGCTATTTCAACTTTCTGAGCTCGAAACTACACTCAAGAGTGGAGGAAGCGACATTTAATTTTTTTAAAATGTAGCTTTGCTGTTATTCAATTAGGATAGACTACTTACAATATTTTAGAGAAACGGGGGGCATTTTAGTGCATCCAAGTGCCAGGTTACCAATCCCTGATAATCCAACTGCCACCTTTCAACTAAAGCTTGGTCTATCTCAATTAACAATCGTTAGGTTTATTCTCATGCTGCTAAGTTACAAATATATTTCAAGGGCAGAAAAAGAGCAGGTCTTTTGTTGTGGCCCACTGTCACTTCTTCCCCCAAATATCACCTTAGAATTTGGTCGCTTCTAATTTTCGTTGCTCTTATAAAACTTCCATCTCTTCCTCCTGTCTTCCTTTCCTTGAACCTATCCTCTGCCTAGCTAGACTAAGCAACTTCTTTTCAGTCATCCACCTAAGTCTTAATGTTCCTCACCTCAGCGTAAGGATGACTAAGAAGCAAGTGAAATTTGATTATTTTCTAAGCTGTTTAAATACATTCCATAACACTAAGATTACAAAGCTGTTTGCAGAGATATTCACTGATGCGGCTAAAATCACAATTAAATTTGAGGCAAAGGTGGAGAGACATGGATAGTCTTTCATGCAAACAGTTCATTAACAGACCAAATCTAATAGGTGTACCTGAAATAAGGTGCAACAAAGTGTTTTTACTGTAGTTTCCATTTCACCACCCATCATTTACTGCATCCTGTATCTAGAATGAGCCTTGGAGCAAGGAGAAGACTTCTTATTCCATGTAAAGGTCATGCACATTTTCAGAAGTTCACACTTTTGTTTTGAGCTATTATAAAGCCATGTATGGGAAGAAGAACCTTTCCCAAGCTTTTAGTGTTTTCTTTGGAGAACTTCCAAAGCGGCAAAGGTTGGGAATTTCTAATCAAGTATGATTAAGGTAAGAGATACGAAAGCACAATTCTCACTATGACAGTCATGAAACTGGCACTCGGATGAGAAGCTTTATCTTTCATCATCATCATCCTCATTCTCCAGACCACCACATCACGAAGCTTCCCAGAGTTTGTAATCTTGCTAATAGCCTGAACATGGAGATATATGTCTCTATGTGGTTTTCAATCTGAATACAAAGATAGTATGAAGTATGAATATAAGTATGAATGTAAGTGCCTTTTGATTTCTGTTTAATTTTAATTATGTACCCACAATGTCATAGAAAGGGCAAGGAATGTGGATTTTTCTTTCTTTCTTTGAACTGAGGTCTATAAATATATATTTTTTGACACATGCTGCGTTGTCAGGCTTAGAAAAGAATTACTCACTCCCAAACAAAGCCTTGGGGAGAAAAATTTTTGAGAAGAACAGCTGCTTTTCTGCAGGTCTCCAGTGATGAGGACATATTACTAATCTGAAGAAACTCCTATGTATCATGGGTGCTGGTTTCCATTTCACTAACCACATTTCAAATGTCAGGAGAAATATTAAATAAACCCTTATGTATGAGATTCTATTTAATAAATATTTGCTATTAATAAAGATATTGTACCTTTGTTATTAACATAAATGTCTATACTGGTTGTTAGAGGTAATCTTAGTAGCTGAAGTTCCAACAGGCAGGACAACGAGGGGAACAAGACATGGCAGTCCTGAATACTTCAGGCAGATTCTGAAGTGCACAGGGACTCCCTCCATTTATGAATCTGGGGCAGTTGATTCCCACAGACTATGATTTAACTCTCTGTTCTGCTGTGCAAAGCTATGTATCTGTTTAGACATTAACCAACCTAATGCCAGAGAACCTTCACATACGCACACATGTTTCTGCATGTGAATCAGGACCAATAATTCAAAACTGGACACGTATCCAAATACACAATCCCAATAAGAAACTGCTTGACTGCACTACACTCATTTCTTAAAACAAGCATTCAACAATAGAAGAGAAAGCATTCAACACTATCTTCCACTCAACAGGGAGAGATGATGGCAGGTAACTTTTGCAAGGACACACAACCTCTGCATTCAGTTATGTATCTAATTCACATTTGCAGTTTCGGGAAGCATGAACTTACATGAAGAGATTCCCTGAATCAAATCTGGTGAGTCTGTATAATACAAGGGTCTTACTATTCATTCTTTGCTCAGAGGAACACACTTTACTAAAACCATTACGATATGTCAACATTCAGTATGTGCAGATTACTGGAACCTGCATGGTTTATAACACTGCAGCATTAATCACAAGCAAGGACCACATGTTCGCATGTTTTGGTGACGAGGTGACAGACCAGGGCATTCACGGGCAGTAGGAATGAGCAACAGAAATTTGGAAATATTTTGGGTACGGAACAG